GCTTTTAGACATCTATGCCCATCAGCCAAGCAGGATCCAACTCCCTGCCCAAGCCTTTCAGAAATCATGCTAAATTAGATGTTTCCTTTAATGATCTTCTAAATTCGGCCAGACAATATATCACTAAAGGTGTTGCTCCTTCTACTCTCAAAGCTTATACATCTGCTTGGTTTCTGTTCGTGACATTTTGTCTCTCGTTTCGGAAACCTGTTTTCCCTATTCTAATTACAACTGTCTGTTCGTTTCTAGTTTACAACTATGAAACTCGAAATTTAAAGATAACTTCTATTCGAAAACTGCTTGCAAGCATTCAATTTTTTGCCAGATATCATAATCCCGATTATCCAAGTCTTTTCTCCATCCCATCTGTGCGTTTGCTCCTTAAAGGCATAGCTAAATCATCGGTCAGAACTCATGATAAACGCCTACCCATTACTTTCTCGGTTCTACAACGGCTAATCTTATCCCTACGTAATGGTTCATTTACTGGCTACATTAACGTTCTTTTAGAAGATTTGTTTTTAACAGCTTTCTACGGCTTCATGTGTCCAGGGGAATTTACGTCTGAAACTAAGCCTTTTGAATCTTCACAAGATTTGTCTCTTTCAGATGTTAATTTTTCACCTAATTTCTTTACCATTTTCCTCAAGCACTCCAAGAATGACTCGATAGGATCAGGCGTCACATTGTCTCTATATAAAAAGGATTCCCAGTTCTGCCCTTATTTCTCCATAATTAGATATCTTAAAATTCGTCTCCGCACTTCTTTTCACTCTCCTTTATTTATTTTACCTAACGGAGCACCCATTACTAAGGCCTGGTTCAACTCTCATTTAGCCACTGTTTTAGAAAACGGCGGCCTGTCACCACTTCAATACACCGGCCATTCCTTTAGGATCGGGGCAGCCACAACTGCTGCTGAACGCGGAGTTCCAACATCAGCAATCAAGTTACTGGGCAGATGGTCATCCTTCGCTTTTGAATCTTACATTAGACCTGGACAACAAACCATCTCAAAGGCTCAGCAAATAATTTCAAGCCGTCCTCAAGGTAATCTATATGCAATTACTGGTGGTGGTGAAATACCTGGTCATATCACTCCTACCTACCTCTATGTTTTATTATCTGCGGCTTAATTTAGCCTTTCTTTCTGTGGCCTGTCTTTTGTGACCTTCTTTCTACTGCCTGTCTTTCCGGCCTTCCCCTCCATTGCCTATCTTTGCGGCATTTCCTTCTGCGGCCTGTCTTTCTCAGGTTTCCCCTCTGTACCCTTCTGAGGTATTTCTTTCTGTGGCCTATAATGGCCTTTCTCACTCCGGCCTATCAAGGCCTCTCCCTCAGTGGCCTATCAGGGCCTTTCCTCCTGTGGCCTATCGGGGCCTTTCCTCCTGTGGCCTATCGGGGCCTTTCCTCCTGCGGCCTATCGTGGCCTCTATCTCTGCGTGGCCTATCGTGGCCTCTATCATCATCCGGCCTATCGTGGCCTCTATCATTATCTGGCCTATTGTGGCCTTTATCACTATCTGGCCTATAGCAGCCTCACTGTCTCTGAAGCCTCTGTGGTCATCTCATCTACACTATAAGCTAATACTTTAGTTATAATTTGAGAAAATTTTTATGCTTTATACTCACCTTAATTATGACAATTAAACATCTTATCTTTTCTTTTCTTTTGTCCATATGTTCTAGGATCTTCTAAGAAATACTTCGTCTGGTGGGTATTTCATTCTTTAATTTCTTTTTGGGGTAGGCTCCGCCCTGCCTTCGTCTTCGGCAGGATTAGCTAGAATCTACAACTTCAGATTCAAGCTACGGATGGGGCCTACGCCAAAATAATTCTGTTCTCTGTTTTTGTTCTGTGAATAAATACTTTAAAGTTTTATCTTCACCTCCTGAGTCTTTTTGGTAGAAATGGAAGCGTCAGCGCAAGTTCTACTAGGAAGACTTAATGCCATGTCACATATTACAATTAGATCTAGCCAATCAGCACTCAACACGAGGATATAAAAGCCTTCTACTCACCCTTCATTGTGTTTGCAGATACCGCCATTGTAGTTTCCCTCCATCCTCCCCACCACCACCAGGTTGGCCCCGTCCATGCGGGGGTAGGCTCCGCCCTGCCTTCGTCTTCAGCAGGATTAGCTGGAATCTACAACTTCAGATTCAAGCTAACCCGATCGAAAATTGTCCAGGTATCTGTTTGAGTTTAAGTAGTTGTTCAGCTGATTAAAAACTACCTTTTCAATAATCTTGCCTATAAAAGGAAGATTTGATATTGGTCTATAGTTGCTCAATATGGTGTTATCAAGATTGCTTTTTTTCAGAAGGGGCTTAACAACTGCAGTTTTCAGGGAGTTTGGAAAAGTCCCAGAAAGAAGTGAGGCGTTCACCACTTCTAAGAGATCTGCTTCCAAACAGTTAAGCACCCTTTTGAAAAAAAATATGTGGGAAGTGTGTCAAGATAGCAGGTTGACAATTTAAGGAAGGTGCTGTACCATTTCTTCCAAAATGTTGCTATCAATTTCACAGGAGCAATATCATCAATAACATTCTTAACTTTTGAGTTAAAGGAATCAAGGAGAAGATCAACAGAGTCTGCAGAAATGCTTGGTGTTAAAGATATAGCCTCCATATAAATCTCTTTCTGACAGAGACCGATCTAGAATCAGTCGTAACAGAGATCAATATATCAAAGAAAATACAGAAGTGATCAGATAGTGCTACATCCTTAATAACAATTGGCGAAATGTTTAGACCTCTACTGATGAGTAAATCTAGAGTGTTTCCACGATTGTGTGTGGGTCCATGCACATGCTGAACCAGGTCAAACGTGTTTAAAACAGTTATAATTTCTTTAATAGTTTTGATTTCTGCTTTATCTATGTGAATATTAAAATCCCCTGCAATCGCAAAACAGTCAAACTCTGAGGAAATCATTGATAACAGTTCTGTGAACTCTTCACCAAAGGCTGGAGAGTATTTTGGAGGCCTGTAAATAATAATAAGCAGAATGCATGGAGCACCTTTCAGTACAATCCCTAGATATTCAAAAGACAAGTACTGACCAAATGACACTTGCTTGCATTGATAGACATCTTTAAATAGAGAAGCTACACCTCCACCTCTCCTAACAGTCCTGCACAGAGATCAATATATTAAAGAAAATACAGAAGTGATCAGATAGTGCTACGTCCTTAATAACAATGGGTGAAATGTTTAGACCTCTACTGATGATTAAATCTAGAGTATGTCCACGATTGTGTGTGGGTTCATGCACATGCTGAATCAGGTCAAACGTGTTTAAAACGGTTATAATTTCTTTTGTAGTTTTGTTTTCTGCATTATCTATGTGAATATTAAAATTCCCTGCAATAGCAAAACAGTCAAACTCTGAGGAAATCATTGATAACAGTTCTGTGAACTCTTCAACAAAGGCTGGAGAGTATTTTGGAGGCCTGTAAATAATAATAAACAGAATGCGTGGAGCACCTTTCAACACAATCCCTAGATATTCAAAAGACAAGTACTGACCAAATGACACTTGCTTGCATTGATAGACATCTTTAAATAGAGCAACTACACCTCCACCTCTCCGAACAGTCCTGCAAACACTCATGAAAGTAAAGTTAGGAAGGGCTGTTTCATTGAGGACTGTTGCACTGAAACATACAATCCAGGTTGTTTGTGGTTATTAAGTCACTGATCAGAAAGGATTAATTTTTTTAGTGAACGAATGGTTAAAAATGCTAACTTGATGGCACTAATTTGTGTTGCTACAGCAATCTTAGTTTGATGCATAATAGGCCACAGATTAGATGGGTCAGCCGTACTGCTCGAGAAGGCCTTAGACTTTATATCACGTTATAAAACAGAAATTGAGAAAGCTACAGGCACACTGGGTTCCCGCTTGTTCTGTAAACATCATACAATCAATGCAAATCTTATTAAATAATTCTTATTAAAGATTAAACAGAAAAAAAAAGAAAAATGACTGCACAACCACCAGTTAGGTGGCGATATGAACCAAGTATGCAAATGGCCTTTGAACAAAAGAAGAAAGAAGCAGTATGGCATGCTTTTTCTTAGCGTCCGTTTCGATAGTGACTCGTCGATTCATCGCTGTGTTGAGAATGTCTTGCGTGTTAACCAGGAATTTACTCTGGGTTGAATTAACTTACTCCCGGACGCGTTTTTGGAACCAACATACCTCGAGTAAGCAAGGTTTGGGTTAATCAACCGAGAGTTCAGGGTTTAGCTGACAGTAAGTTAACCTTGCTTTCTGGAATACACCCCTGATGTTAACAAACAGAATTACTGAAGGAGAAAATAAAATTTTTCAAAATTGTATTTTATTTTATTTTATTTTATTAAGACTCCAGTTGGGGAAAGACAGAAGGGAAAACTTAATGAGAACAGCCTACGCAGTCGTTGTAATTTCATCATAATAAAGTGAAGAGTTTAACATCAGATGTTCAGTGTGTGTGCATATTTGGTGCATTTTTGATTTTATAGTTAAGTCATAGCCATAATGTGTATGTTTTTTTAAAGAGATCTGGAGAGAGAAATATATTACTTTAGGCCATGAATCTGTGATCCATGTCTTTTATTCCCATCGTAATGAAATTTGAAATGTCCTGGAAATGTCATAGAAAAGTCATGGAAAATGAACTCTGACAAAGAGTGGGAACCCTGCTACTGTTGAGAGTTTCATAATGTAAGACAGTAACCCACCACATGTGAAACTTATGATACTTTTATTAACAGAGCTCATGTCACAAACACATCACATCAAATCAACAATAACTCCTGTGTTCACAGCAAACACACAATGAGTGAAGATGAGCCTTACATTCTTAAAGAACCTGACACTTTCAGATTACAGCATGTTAGAATGAACAAATCATATTGTATTTCTGTAAAAATCACTTATTGCAATGATCTACACCTACTGTAGCTTCTCAATAAGATTATTGTCATAGATCCGAGTGATTGTTGTTTTCTCTTTGTCTTCAGTCTGTGTGGATGCAGTATTATAGAGAAACAGTGTCTCATCCTGACTTCAGCTCTGAAATCAAACCCATCACACCTGAGAGAACTGGACCTCAGTGTGAATAAAATAAAAACCACAGGATTGAATCACTTATGTGATGTACTGAAGGATTCACACTGTAAACTGGAGAGATTGAGGTCAGTAACATTCACATACAAGAATCAAAATGTTTAAAATCACTTCAGCAGTTTAAACAAAAACACTTTATACTCAAAATCTCCTGATGAGTCTGAGTTCAAATTATATTTCTGTAAATTCTTCACCTTAATCATGTGTTTGTGAGATTATCTCTCTTCCTCTGTTTGTCTCTATCTAGTCTAAAGGACTGTGGCATTACAGATGTTTCTTCTTTAACTCAGTCTTTGACAAACACAAAAGCACTGCATTTTTTAAAAGAGCTTGATCTGAGAAATAATATGACAAGAGACTCAAAGCAGCAACTCATAGATGTACTACGAGACTCAAACTGCAATCTGAGGTAAGTAAACATCACTTTGTTATATTAAAGAGATCTTCAAATATCTCTGATATGTAAACAAATATATACTTTCAAATATTTGTAAAAAAAGATGATCAAATTATCACCAGGCTTTATTGCACATGTAACGGGGCGAACGAGACGAGAGACATGCGGATCCATCTGCAAAGCTTTATTTTTAAACATGGTCAAAACAGGCTTGGGTCAGACACCAGCAAACAGATAAAGACAAGGCAAGACAAAGAGTAATCCATATACAGGCATGGGTGAAACGACGGCAAACATAATCCAGGGAGCGAGGCAAACGGGTAATCCAAAACATGCAATAATCCAGGCAAGGGGCAAACAGAGTCCAAACAACAAAACAAGAGAATAGTCCAAGACAGGCAGGTGATCAAGAAACAGGCAATACGACGTGACTAAACTAAGACTAGAACTAGGAACAAGAACTGCAAACTATGACTGAAAACTGGCTCCATAATGTTGCTATCACTAGAAGAGAGATACATGCAAGCAATACTCGGCAGTCTGTAATGGTTTGAGTGTGGCTTATGTAGTGTGTGTGATTGGTTTCAGGTGAGCTTGTGATTAGTGCAATGGAGCATGGGAAATGTAGTCCAGGGTGACGTGTAACAGTTTGCGTAGTGTGAGAATCAATGTAATCGAAAAAGGGTGACCTCTGGTAGCAATCGGACGGAAGTCCATGGACAGGATTCATGACATAGCCCCACAAGGAGCTGTTTCCAGATGTTCCTATCTCAAGATAATCCAGGAGGGTGGTGGAGCGGAACAGGGGGAGGGACAGAGGGCCAGGTCCATGTGGAAGTGGAGAGACCAGGGACTGAGGCAGAGCCAGCAGAGCAGGGCACTCAGGCGTAACCGGCGAAGCAGAAATCCAGGGCGGAGCAGGGAACCAGGGCAGAACAGAGAACCAGGGTGAAGCCGGCGGAACAGACAGAGCAGAGGACCACCTCGGCGGGGCAGTCGGAGGAGTAGACCACCATGGAGGAGCAGATGGAACAGAAGACCACCACGGAGGAGCAGACGGAGCATGAGACCACCACAGAGGAGCAGATGGACTAGGAAACCTCCACAGAGGAGCAGACAGAGCAGAAGACCACCACGGAGGAGCAGAGAAAGTAGAAGACCACCAAGCTGGAGTAGACGGAGCAGAAGACCAGCATAGCTTTGCCGAAGACCACACGGTGGAGCAGACAGAGCTTTGGCCCACCAGAGCATGTCGGCATAAAACCACGGCGGACCAGAGTGATCAGGAACCCTTGGCAGGGACTGGGACCTAGGGAAAACTGAAACACAGGAGACAGACAGTGCATTTACGGTCTCAAGGACCTAGGCAGGGAACACAAAAAGTTCATCAATAGTCTCCCTGGTGACCACTGAATGGACAGACAGTTCAAAATCAGGCTCATTGGTCAAAACAGAACAGACATATGGCTCAAAACTAGACTTCTGCAAGAGTTCATTGCCAGTGATATGACTAGGCGAAAGTTCATGATTGGACTCCATGGCTGGTTCAGTACAAGACAAGAGTTCATAAACTGCCTCCATAGCTGTGACAGGACAAACAGAGGATTCACAGACGGCCTCCATAGCTGTGACAGGACAGGCAGAGAGATCACAAACGGCTTCCATAGCCATTACCGGACTGGCAGAGAGTTCACAGACTGCCTCCATAGCCGTTACAGGAGAGGAAAAGGGATCATAGTCGACCTCCATAGCCATGACAGGACAGGCAGAGGGTTCACAGATAGCCTTCTTGGCTGGAACAGGACAGGATGAGAGTTCATAAGAGGATACCACTGACACCTCTGGAGGTTCTGCAGCAGATGCTGCTACCTCTGGAAGTTCTACAGTAGTAACATCAGGAAACGGGTAGAGTTCATTAACATCCTCCTTAACAGGACAGGCACAGTCTTCATCTGTGGTTCCTTCGACCGTGACATGACGGGCTGAAAGTGTATTGCTAGGCGCCACCACCATACAAGGAGCTGAAGCGAGCGCAGCCACCTCAGGAGGTTCTGCAGTGGTGTATGCAGCCCAAACACACCAAAAAGCAATCCCCATCCTGGGAAGCGTTTCAGACAGGGGAATCAGTTCAGAAACAGGAGGGCTAGAGTGAGTTGGTTTGGGGATACCAGCTGCACGTGCAGACACCAGAGATGCATCCCTCACACTGGATACCAGACTGGGATACCGAAGGACTGACCTTGATAATCTGGGTGCAACAGACAGGATGTGACAAGACACTGGATGATCAGCTGTGATGTGACGTGACTCTGGATGATCAGCTGTGATGTGACGTGACTCTGGACGAATAGCTGAGACGTGACGAGAATCTGAACGAACAGCTGAGACGTGGCGAGACTCTAGAAGATCAGCTGAGACGTGATGAGGCTCTGGCAGATCAACTGTGACGTGATAAGGCTCTGGCAGATCAGCTGAGATTTTACTTGACTCATGAAGATCATCTGAGACGTGACGAGACTCTGGACGAACAGCTGAGACGGGACGAGACTCTAGACAATCAGCTGTGACTTGACTTGACTCATGACGATCAACTGTGACTTGACTAGACTCATGAAGATCAACTGTGGCTTGACATGATTCAAGATTGGCAGCTGTGACATAACGGTGCGCTGTTGTGTCCGCCATTTAGCGATCAGGCTCCGCTGTTGGCACCATTTTGTGAGCGTTCTCTAGTGTGGCTGCCATTACACGAGTGAGTGCGGCGTCAGCTGCTGGATTCCTGTGTGGCCGAGTATTCTGTAACGGGGCGAACGAGACAAGAGACGTGCGGATCCATCTGCAAAGCTTATTTTCAAACATGGTTAAAACAGGCTTGGGTCAGACACCAGCAAACAGATATAGACAAGGCAAGACAGAGCAATCCATATACAGGCGTGGTTCAAAAGACGGCAAATGTAATCCAGGGAGCGAGGCAAATGGGTAATCCAAAACATACAATAATCCAGGCAAGGGGCAAACAGAGTCCAAACGACAAAACAAGAAAATAATCCAAGACAGGCAGGTGATCAAGAAACAGGCAATCAGGCAACACGACGTGACTAAACTAAGACTAGAACTAGGAACAAGAACTGGAAACTATGACTGAAAACTGGCTCCGTAATGTTGTTATCACTAGAAGAGAGATAAATGCAAACAATACTCGGCAGTCTGTAATGGTTTGAGTGTGGCTTATGTAGTGTGTGTGGTTTCAGGTGAGCTTGTGATTAGTGCAATGGAGCATGGGAAATGTAGTCCAGGGTGACGTGTATGTGTAGTGTGATAGTCAATGCAATCAGTAACGGTGACCTCAGGTGGCAATCGGATGGAAGTCCATGGACAGGATTTGTGGCAGCACCCAAGGATTTGTGTCAGAATGAAATGTTAAGTTGATTCAAATGTTTAACACACAAGAGGAAAGAGAACAAAAGCAAGCTGTCACAGCTTTATACAACAATACCTGCTTTATTAATCACATCAGTAGTAGTGAATCATTTCAATGTGAAAATAGATTTGTCAGATTGTAGGAAAATGCTGGTAAAATCAGTGCAGATTCCAGCTTCAGATCACATCCTTCCAGCATCACATGATCAATGTATCCGTCTCTTGTGTTTTTACTTTGACAAGCAACAAGTCACATTACTTTACATTTACTTTATGTAAGGGATAATGTACATCCAGCCGGTTGTTATCACAGAATAAACCCTGACAAGGTGATCTGGGGCCTGTACTATGAAGCCAGTTTAGTTGGCTAGCCAGGTAAGTTTCAGTTTAGTTTGCGCCAACTCTGGGTTTTAGGTACAATGAAAGTGGTTTGGCTTTTAGCAGTGTTCATGGCCATAGTAAATTATGCTCCCAGCTAACCTGCTTCGGGGCAGGTTAAGTTCTGGTTTAGAAATCTCAAACCGAAATTTGACCATTCAGCTTCAAGCAAAGTGACACATCTCTGAGGCAATAAAGCCACTCCTCCAGTTTCTATTACTCCAAATCAATGGACGCTACATAGTCAAACATTTTTAAAGATAAAATCATCTGATTTTTATGGATGATTATTTTTTATAATTATTTTATATTATTTATATAATTATTTTACCCTTAATCCTTTACACAAGCCAGATTAGTTTAATATTACTTTAAAATGTAATTTAATAATTACTATGAATATATAGATAATATGCAATATAAATAAGTTGTAGAATCAATAGCTTTAAAAATGACTATATATGAGCTTAGATTTTAAGTGTTTTTATACCTATAAATATGATCAACTCTATAAACTAACTTTACAACTTTTACTTGCACTTATATGGCAAGATGTTTTCTTTAAGTTTTCCTCTTTCATGGATAGATCATTTCATCTTGCTGTGTAAATGTGTTTAATTTCTTCATATTGTCAATCTTTTAATCTTTTGTAGTGAATAGCACTGACTCTCTCACGAGAAGGGAATCACAGTTTCAAAGCATGTGATTGGCTGCTCATTACTGATGTCACACATTTATGTGCACGTGATCCATTAACTCAGGATCAAGCCTGAGTTGACAGAGAAAATTGAGGATCAGGGGTGTATTCCAGAAAGCACGGTTAACTTACCGTCAGCTAAACCCTGAACTTTCGGTTGATTAACCCCAAACCTTGCTTACTCGAGGTATGTGGCTCCAAAAACGTGTCTGGGAGTAAGTTCATTCAACTCAGAGTATGTTCCTGGTTAAGACTCAAGACATTTTCAACAGAGCAACGCATCGACGAGTCACTATGGAAACGGACACAAAGAAAAAGTGCGCCATGCTGTTTCTTTCTTCTTCTTTTGTTTAATGGTCGTTTACATGCTTAGCGCATATCGTCACCTAATTGATGGTTGTGCAATCTTTTTTTTTTTTCCCTTTTTAATCTTTAATCCTTGAGAATATGAATTATATTGAATTATATAGCGCTTCATCATTAACATATCATACAAATATACAGTATATATATATATATATATATATATATATATATCTCACCCACACGACGCCATACACGCTGTCTGCCATCTGCCCTGTACAGTGAAAACCGGGTTTCATCCTTGAAGAGAACACCTCACCAAAGTTCCAGACGCCATCTAATGTGAGCATTTGCCCACTCAAGTCAGTTACGACGACGAACTGCCAGCTCGTCAATTGCACGCTCCCTCATAACTTGCGACATCTGTGGCATTGTGCTGTGATAAAACTGCACATTTTATAGTGGCCTTTTATTGTGGCCAGCCTAAGGCACACCTTTGCAATAATCATGCTGTCTAATCAGCATCTTGATATGCCACACCTGTGAGGTGGATGGATTATCTCGGCAAAGGAGAAGTGCTCACTAACACAGATTTAGACAGATTTGTGAACAATATTTGAGAGAAATAGGCCTTTTGTGTACATAGAAAAAGTCTTAGACCTTTGAGTTCAGCTCATGAAAATTATGGGCAAAAACAAAAGTGTTGCGTTTATAATTTTGTTCGGTGTATAATAGGCTATATTACGTAATATTATATAATGTTGTGCGCTATCTGTCACGCCCATTGAAGGCTCTTCAGTAGATCACACGTGCGCTGAGAGCGCTGAAGTGAACTAACCCTGCAACATAACCTGCTCCGGAGCAGGTTATCTTCAGAAAGCAAGTAACTATGGTTACTTACATACCCTGAAAGTTACCTCCGATTTTGGAACCGAAAGCTGAGATTATCCGCTCGCTTACCCATAACCTGCTTTTTGGAATACCCCCCAGCTTCATGGTACCAACAAAGCCGGATTGGACTGGTTTTGTTTTTTCAACTTAAAACTAGAGTTTGTTCAGCCACAATCATGGTACAGGCCCCAGGACTTGTATCATCCAGGAGTTTATCCTGTGATAACAACTGGCTCCATGTATGCATGTAAAGCACTGTGCAAAATTCTTAGGCCATTAGTATTTTCACAAAGAAAAGGTTTTAAGCCAGTTATTTCTATCTTTTGCTGTAGTGTGTCAGTAGTGTTATGAGTCTGAGTCATTTGTTCATTGCTTCCATTCTGTGTTCTCTCTGTGTATGTGCATGTTTGTTACAGGTGGGCGATTCCTTGTGTTAATTTGCCGGAGTCTGCGATTGGTTCTCTTCCTTACCGGACCCACATATAAGGACCGCCCCAAACACTCGACCTGAGCCATTATTTTGCAATTGTGTTTGACTTTCTAGCTCTTTGCCTTTGCTCTTTCACTGTCGTCATTGTTTAAATCAAGTCAAGTCAAGTCACCTTTATTTATATAGCGCTTTTAACAATACAGATTGTGTCAAAGCAGCTTTACAGTATCAAATAGGTAAATAGAGTGTCAGTAACACAAAAGGACAATAGAAAACACTCAATTTTCAGTTAAAGGTAGTTCATCATTGAATTCAGTGATGTCATCATCCAGTTCAGTTCAGTTCTAATAGTATTTGTGCAATAAAGTTGATGATATCGCTGGAAATGAAGTGTCCCCAACTAAGCAAGCCAGAGGCGACAGCGGCAAGGAACCAAAACTCCATTGGTGACAGGATAGATAAAAAACCTTGGGAGAAACCAGGCTCAGTCGGGGGGCCAGTTCTCCTCTGGCTAGACGAACCAGCAGTTTGTGCTGAGGACTCATCTTGGTCCCGAGGTCTTGTCCCGATGCCCGTCTAGAAGACAAGGTCTTCACTGGGGATCTCTCTCTGGGGCTCATCTAGTTGTCCTGATCTCCGCTGACATTCAAGGTTGTAGAGGTCGAATCTAGGTGTTGATCCACCATCTGGGCTGGATACAGACTGGATCTGGTGGCTACGGTGACCTCGGAATAAGAAAGAAACAGACTAATATTAGCGTAGATGCCATTCTTCTTGTAACAACAAATACATTGTGTGTTATGGGAAGTGTTCCTGGTTCCGGTTGATCTAATTAATGCAGACTAACAATCCTTTAACGGATTTGAATAATAGAAATATGTTAGTGTGCTATGTGTAAGCCAGGTTAAAGAGATGGGTTTTTAATCTAGATTTAAACTGACAGAGTATGTCTGCCTCCCGAACAGTGTTAGGTAGATTATTCTAGAGTTTGGGTGCTAAATAGGAAAAGGATCTGCCGCCCGCAGTTGATTTTGAGTGATTATCAAATTGTTCTAGGTATTATCAAATTGCCAGAGTTTTGAGAACGCAGCGGACGTGGAGGACTATAATGCGATAAGAGCTCGCTCAAGTACTGAGGTGCTAAACCATTCAGGGCTTTATAAGTAATTAGCAAGATTTTGAAATCTATTCGAAGTTTAATAGGTAATTTGGTGATACTTCCTGGTTCTAGTAAGAACTCTAGCTGCTGCATTTTGAACCAGATGGAGTTTATTTATTAAGCGTGCAGAACAACCACCCAATAAAGCACTGCAATAATCTAGCCTCAAGGTCATGAACGCATGAATTAACATTTCTGCATTTGACATTGAGAGCATAGGTCGCAATTTAAATATATTTTTGAGATGTAAGAATGCAGTTTTACAAATGCTAGACACGTGGTTTTCGAAGGAGAGATTGCTATCAAATAGCACACCTAGGTTCCTAACTGATGACGAAGAACTGACAGAGCAACCATCAAGTCTTAGACAGTGTTCAAGGTTATTGCATGCGGAGGTTTTAGGTCCGATAATTAACACCTGTTTTTTCGGAATTTAACAGTAAGAAATTACTGGCCATCCAGTTTTTTATATCGACTATGCATTCCGTTAGTTTTTCAAATTGGTATGTTTTGTCGGACCACGAAGAAATACAGAGCTGAGTATCATCAGAAAAACCGTGAAAGCTAACACCGTGATCCCTGATGATCTCTCCCAAGGGTAACATGTAAAGCATGAAAAGTAACGGCCCTAGTACTGAGCCTTGAGGTACACCATACTGCACCTGTGATCGATATGATACCTCTTCAATACAGTTCAGTTAAATTTTTACTCTCCTTATCAGTTAATGAATTTGCATAACTTTTTTCAATGAAACTTCACTCATATTTCAGTGAAAATAACTTGTTTCATTTAGTAAATCTGACTGTTATGTTTTACAGTATATTGCTGTTTTTACCTTGATTTTAGGCAGCATGGTTGCCAGTAAATAACTTTTTCTACAGTTTGTTTCTGCAAATTAATTATAGTTTGTTACTGTGAAATTAAATTAGTAGTAAATTAGCAGTAGTTACTAATTACTAAGCAGTTTGACTTTATTTCTGTCATATGTCTACAAAAAGTTCTTATTGAAATTTTAGGTGTTGTACTTTCATTCATTTCACATGTCACCATAATGATGATCAGTGTTTGCTTTAGTTGGGCTCTTGAACCTTGACTTTTTTTAAATTAGTGTTTCTCTGGTTGCAGTAGTTAATTGTGTTTATTAATTGCCTGGGGTTGGCAAAGACGCCGGCGGGAGCACTTGTATATTTTCCAGATGACAGAGAAAATTACTTAAAATGCTCCGTCACTTTTGCTTGGACACATAAAAGTAATACATCCCTTGAATCTGTAAAGGGACTTCTTTTATTTGTGTATGCTCACTATATCAATAAAACTTTGTGCTTCTGTAAAATAAAGAAAATAAACAGGGTGCGCTGTCAGTCTTCACTGTCTCCGTGAACTGCTTTTAGAAATGCGTCACTAAAATGAACTGAAACTAAGCGAATGCTTTACACACAGGCACGAGAACTATATCTAGAGAAAGCTTGACATGTCTATTCCTAAATGAAGGAAATCTTACCATAAACAAATATTCTGTGATAAAGTAATCCGTATGAAACCAACGACATGTCCAGTTTTTCCTGTCTAGGCTCATTATCTCTAATTAGATCAGGTTAGGTTAGGGTTAGGGTTAGGTATATAGATAAAAACGAGTTTCACCCTCATTAATTTGACCCTCATTAGCATATGCGATCTGATTGGCCAAAGCTTACCTGGCCATATCTGGTGAAGCGGAGGTCCGATCTGCACATAACTGGTATGGTTGGATTCAGGAAGCTGTGGTCTTTCAGGTAGCGTGGATGTATGGAGGAAAGGGTGTTGCTTTCAAATCCAATGTGACCGTACAACAGTCTAAAAAGTG